GATAAAAATTGTTATTAAAAACAACATTACTTAATTAAAGAAAGACTAATGATAAGAACGAGATGAAAAAAGTTTAACAACATATCTGTAACATTAAATAAAAATTAGGGATCAATAATACAATTAAAATGTGGTGTATTTGTAAGAAAATGTTGTGAGAATATAATTACCCTTCCATAAAACACACGTGTTTTATTTATCCTTTATTATACTCTTGATGATGCACAATTTGATTAAAATTATAATTTTACCACAATTGATATTAGAGCCCTATTTTCATATTACTCTGTGTATCAAGGATTAAATATTTTTTCTTTATGCATGTGTTAGTAAAGAGTGGTGTTAGAGTTGTGTGGTTTATTTTGTTATTAGAAGAATGATGTTTTGCTGAACAAATTTATGGCCTCAAAATTTTGGTGGTGATTATGTATTGTTTTATCTAGTCATGTTACAAAGGGAAAGGGGGTAGATTAAAACACCATATTTTTGCCTTTGATTTAATTTCTTGCAATAGACTTAGGGTGTCTATTTCTATTGGGAATGTTGTTGCAATTTTGAATCAAAGGACAAAAGCTGTAATTTTTATTTGGACAACCAAATCTGTAATTAGACTTGGAAGACCAATGCTGAAATTTTTCCTTGGAGCACCAAAGTTCATCATGTCAAATTTTTGAAGGACGTACACTGTAATTTTTACTGAACTTTTGGAAGACTCGTCGAAAAGAAAACGAGGGAAGAGGAATCGCGGTGGTGGTGTGATAGAATCCATGGGTGATGTCAGTACGAATACCTTCAGGGGTTATCATAGCGATACAATCAGCTTATCGCTCTCACATAGAAACGGTGCATTCAGCATGGTTGCTGCATCTGCAAGGCATGATGATGGTTATTTCGATGATGGCATTGTGATTTCTAGTTCCTTTCATTTTGATAACTATATTGTTCAAATAAATAGGATGGAATTGACCAATGTAGGTATAGTAGGTCGAGAAGTGGAAAGAGACTCCGGCACGTTTCTCTTTCTTGCATTTTTCAGAAAAATATCTTATTGGACAACAGTGATTTCTAAAAATGGAAATGATGGTAATTGCTAGGGTTAGGAAGAGATATTCTTCGAAGTGGAATGGGTATCTTTTAATTTAGGTGGTTCTTTACAAATTGGGCTAAAAATTAATTTTAATTTAGTGAAAATTATACCCTAACATGCATTTAAGATCAAAATCCATAAATCAGAGATGACGTTTATTTAACCAAAAATCGGGTTTTTATTGAATTATTAGTAATATTATAAAATTTACCCGCATCCCATTCACCCCACCCCATCCCATTAACCCCCACCAAACCTACAATTTCACCAATTTTTTCTTCATTTCCCTTCACTCTCTCACTTCCACTTAGATTTTCAGTTACTAGCATTTCGGCTAGCATATGAATTGGTTGCACACAGAACCACTCTAACCAGTAAGAGCGACGAAGCACCTCTGTTCATAGCGTATTGTCGTCGTCACCGCCTTGTGTAAACGAAGCCACGGTTGAAGCCTCTAGCTTGTTAGAAGCGCTTTATCGATACTGTGCACAGTAGCACTCAGAAAGCCACTTCTGAGAAGCGATGCTTAGTAGAACCCCATAGGATCTAAAGCAGTGTGGACGAACTAAACCCATAAATCTGAGCACGATGTCGGTGGCGAACTGAATAGCTACTATAGTGGCGAACCTCTGCTGCTCCCCATTTTACTATTTTATTGATGGTTTTCTAATGGTTTTGGTGGCCATGGGATGAGGTGCTTGAAGTGGTGGTTGGAAGTGGTTTTTTTTTTTAGTTTGACGGCGATTTTGTTGTAATTTTTGTGATATTTTAGCATTGGTAATTTGCTTGGTTGTTGGGTTGTTAGTTGTGGTGGTTATAGTGGTAGTACAATAGTTGTGGTTGTGGTAGAGTGTTACATTAGTGGTTGTGGTGGAATGAAGGTGGTGAAGGTGGTTGTTGGTGGTTTGCATGTTGTGGTGCTGCTGAGGTTGTTGTGACCCACAATTTGTTCACATGTCACAAGTTACTGTACAAAGGTCACATATCAATGTCCACAAGTCACGGATCATTATGAGTAAGTAGGTTATACACTACAACAAACATAGGCTTTGGCAACACTTAACAACATTTATTGATTAAATGTTGCTTAACATCATTTCTCTCTTTTTTTACCATGTAGATTTCTAGTTGTAAACTTTTGATTTCAGCCCACCATTTTTTTAGCCGTTAAAAATTAAGTGTTGCATTAAAGAAAGAAAAAAAAAATATGTCAGATCTGCCATTTATCGAACAAATCCCACTTGTTAATTTTCACACACGGCTTTTCTTGTCAGTATACAACTTGGTATTGGTTTGTAGTGTAGTATTTTGCTATTTTTTACAGTTAAATGATGTCATCAGAAATACACGGCGGAGGAGAAATGGCGCCGCCATCAAAGGATTCTTACCTCGGTTAATCAAAATGGTGGGTTCTAACATGGTCGATTTTGTAAGGAAATTGATTCCTTAATTTGAATTCAGCCAATGTTGGAAGAGAATCTATTGCAAAGGAGGAGCCTCAGTTACAGTTTTTCAGTTGGAATCTATATAGGTTCTCCCGAACAATGTCGATTTGCTGCATCCTCCATTGGAATTGGAGAAGAAGAAGCACAAGCTCAAGCGTCTTGTTCAATCCCCCAATTCTTTCTTCATGGTAATTTCTACCACTCTGTTTGTTGTTTATTCAATATCTTTTGTACCCCTCCTGATCTTCTCTTTTCTTTGTTTTTTGCATTAGGATGTGAAATGTCAGGGTTGCTTCAACATGTGAGTTATTCGAGTATTATTTATTGCGCTAATGTTATTTATTGATTTTGTTGGTGTTTAATAGATCAAACTTCCTAGGAATAAACATGACGCATTGTGGAGCACCATCCATTGTAAATACTATCAAATTTCCTAACCCTACTGCTGAACTATGGTTTTGTACCAATCAAAAAGATGATATGAACGAATTTTCACCTCATTTCGTGCCAAGTGGAAGAAATGATGTATGATTGTTGTTGAAGCATAACACTAATTGACAAGCTGAATGTAAGTTGAAAGTTGTGCTTTTAAGTTTTTTGGAGAGTTGCTCACTTGCTCTTGCCATGAATCATATGATGGTTTTTCTTCAACAAGTGAATTAGGAAAGTCTATTAGATGGACCCTGCTGATGCTGCTGAAGCTGAGGAGAATATGATGAAGCCAACTAAAATGAGAGAATGGGAAGAAGTCATCTGAAATGAGAGAGAGGGAACGTGGAGGACGGTTCACTTTCTTGCTGTACATTTTCAGTTTGCTTTACAGCTTGACAAGTTAGATGATGCTGGTAGCATCTGTCATCCAGTTAAAATGTTTGTTGTGAATTTTTAATCTTCTTGATACAGCTCTTTGATGTAATGTTCAAGTGTATGGATTCAAAAATTTGTAATGAAATTATCAATTTTTATGCAATTTCAAAATTTGTTCATATGGAGTCATTTTCAATTTTGTCAATCAATTCGCATAAATTGTTGTTAAAAAAAAAAACCAACGGTAACGGCAACGTTCAAAAAACGATGCAAAAAATGTTATTCGCAACGTTAAAAAAACGCTGCCGTATCCGAAGACTCTATGGCAAAATCACATCCCACAACTTACAAGTCACTATGAGAAGGTCATATATATCATGTAATAGGTCATATGTCAAAATGCATAGGGCACATGTCAAAAATTCAAGATATTTGCTTACGTGTCATTGATATCTCCGACTTGAGTTCTTTGAACTGGTCACAAATTCAATTACCTAGATTTCAGCGGTGAGAATTGAAATTATTTGCTCCGGTGAGTACTCTATAATTATACATGGACTATTTTTGAATTTCCAATTTTAAAAAATTGATTTAAATTACACCAGTACTGCTCAGTCGATGTTCTCTAACGACCATTATATTTGTCCTTCTATCTCTACTATTTGAGCCGACAATGCTTAGTCATTGCTGAGCGACAATTGTGTCACCATTGAAGAAGTCACCAATGATCTCTGTGGATTCTATCTTCCATCCGATGAAGTTATTTGAATACTGGTAACTGTGAGAATGAATGAGGATGGGTAGATACCGACGACTGTATGATGGGATGGCAATGGGCGGGTGAGCGAGAGTGGGGGTGGAGTGGGTAGATTAATTTAATTTGATAATGTTATGATTTAAAATTAAAATATTGAATTGACACCTGACGTTTGAAATTTTAAACTTAATTTAACTAGTGTATACTTAATACATGATATATGAAATTTTCCCTTTAATTTATTATAATGTGGGTTAAAGAAGTTTAGTTGGGCTATTGCAATGTGAACCAAATTTCACAGTGTGCTGTAGATATTAATTGGAGGAAATTACACCACAAATAATTAACAAACGGCTCTCACTCCCTTTTTTATTTACATCCCAATGAAGCGGCTCAAATTCCAAGTTTGTCCTCAAATTGAATCATTCCAAAACTGAATACCTAACTTCTCTTTGCACAACATTATGTGCTTTAATTAAATCCATCCCTGAATCGTGCACAATAAAGATATCCACTCTAGAATACTAACTCATTTGCATTTTGCTCACATTATGTCTTCTTATGAAACCTGTATTTTATTTTTACTCATAGTTTCGATATGCTGATTTTTATTATAAAGGAAGTTGGTCCTGGTGTAATTGAGGCCAGGAGGAGAAATGGCCAGTTTTCTTACTGCACGTTCATTTACTTATCATGCATTATTTCTGTTGTTTCATTTTAATTTTTTTACTTTGAAATACGACCTGCAAAGTATAAAAATATTTGCTTACCCAGATTTTTAAGATGCACAATTAAAAAATCAGATTTATAGAATTATTTTTCAGAAATTAGATACTTATTCATCTTTTAATGTTTATAATATTATAAAATTAAATTAATTAAAATACCCCCATCCACTCCGTCTCTCTGTCGGCAGCTTAGCCACGTACCACCGATGGAAAGCGGCCAATACTCACCATTGTCATTGTTTACCACCACCGCCCCTGCTCTCTCTTTTTCTCCTACTCTCCTCTCCTCTCATTTCCCTCCTCCATCCTCCATTCTCAAAGACAACGCATGTGCCACCGTCGCGCGAAGCGGTCTTTGACAGTCGCTGTGCGTGGCTTGAAGCGGCACCATGCTACTACGGCTTTATGCCACTGCATGCGGCACTCACAAGCTAAGTTGTCGGGACATTATGCTGTAGCTGTGCAATATTTTGTGGTGGTTTCTCCGATTTGCTAATTTACCAAAGTTTTGGTGTGTTTTTTGTTGGTGATTGTTGCAGATTTGGAGTTTTTTGGTAGGGTGGTGGCTGTAATGTGGTAGTGTTGTATGAGATGCTGGATTCTAGTAGGTGGTGGTAGTGGTCATGTGGTGGTTGATTGGAGTTTCAAATGAAGATGGAGTTTGTTGGTGGTTGTTGAAGCAGTCGATTGTGGGTGTGGGATGGGGCAGCAATGTATTTGGTGGTGCTGGTGCTGCCACGATAGTGGTGCGAGAGAACGGTGGTGGTTAGTGGTTGTAGCTGTATGGGTGGCGTGGCGTGGCGTGGGGGTGTTTGTGACTAATTATTTGAGACTGTGTCCGGCGGTAGATGAGGGGATTTTTTTCGTAGGGGTTGTGGTTGTGGAGTGGTAGGCTAGCGGTGGTGGTGATTACAGTGTTTGAGATGATGATTTGGCTATCGGAGAGAGTGGTGATGGTTCTTGCAACAATGGTTTCAGCAGCAACGTCACAAACGTTGGTGGTGGTCACAAATTATTTGATTGTTTGTGACCAATAAATAATGCGTGACTTAAAAATTTGTTAATCTGTGACCAATAATTTGATAATTTCTGACCTAAACATAAGTTGTGGCCAATTAATTTGATCTTTTGTGACCATTAAATAAGTTGTGTCTAATAAATTTGTGATTTGTGATCAATAAATAATATGTGACTATTAATTTGATAAATTTGACACCGTGAAATAATTTGTAACCAATAAAGATTTTAATTGTCACCAAGAAATTATTTGTAACCAATTAATTTGATAATTTTTGACCAAATTGTATAAAATTGGGACCTTATATTTATTTTTATAAAATATTTTTAATTAATTATTTCAGAAATATAATTTGATAAATATCTGATTTTTGAATTGTTAAACATTTTATCTTAACTTTGAAATGAGTTATACTTAAACTATTATTTTTTCCCTTAATTTATTATAATGTGGGCTCAAGAAGTTTAGCAGGGCTATTGCAATGTGAACTTAATTTCACAATGGGCTGTAGATATTAATGAGAGGAAATTACACCACAAATAATTAACAAATGGCTTTCACTCCCTGTGAATACTATATTGGCATGCATAATAGATAATATTTGTTCTTCTTTTCTAAGCTAGTTTTACAATTCGATCAATTTTAATTGGTTAGAATTTGTCACTTGAAACATACAAAAAGTACAAAAAAATTAAGTGATTGAGGAAACACAACTAATAGACCTACGACCTCCCTTATTAATCCATTAGTAAGAATACGTCTATGTCTTGTGCTAATAATTTATGACTTCTCTAAAGAGGATTTCACTATTTTGATTTTTTTATTGGACCCAATTGGGTGATGCATTTTTAAATACGAATTAATTGCGATTGCGGTATAAATAACTTAATTAATTTGAAATTTTAAAAATCATCAATGTAGGAGTTATACACTTTTAGCAAAAATATCATAAGGAATTCATACTGAATATCCAATTAATGTTATTGATGGCCACATTAAACTCACTCTTAAATTAATATTGCATGAGTCGCTATGATATATTAGATTTAGTAGAAGGATCCCAGCCTAACCATAAATCACATTATCTTTTCCTATAGATACATATGTTTAAGATTTGCATAATCGTCATATTAAAGTTGTATTGGGCCTGCTTTTTCATTTTTCATGCATAATATGCAAAACATTCATCTCAGATTAATCTCATTTTGCTACTATATTTTTATTTCAATAAAATGTTGAACCACGCACTGTCTATCATCTTAAATAAGAACTAAACATTATGAGATAATTAGATTGATTAGAAACTTAACTTGGTGATAGTTCTTACTACTGAAGAGTATAACTTTGTGCTACCTGACCTTATCCAAACATAACGACTGTGAGTCGATGACTGAACAAAAGAATCCATATAAGAAGTGGATCCAATCTGATGCGATTGCCCACTCCTATATTTCGACTTCCACGTCGAGTGTGTTGAAATGTAAAATAGTATGAAGGGTATTTATGTCTATTCACAGTTTCCAATTAGTTTTGTTAGTTCTGTGTGTAAATAGGGGCTGATCTTCATCTGTACGCTGCTGAATTTTATTCCATTCAATTGAAAATTTATTTCCCACCTTTTGTTCTCTCTTCATTCTAGATCATTCCTCATCAATTCAACATGGTATCAGAGCATGTGGTGCTCGCCAATTAGATTTTAATTCTCACCATTCCGATCAGATCTACGGCTTCTTGTGATGGCGAATGATTCTAGTGTTCAGGCGAAAGTTCAAAGTAAGTTCGATCAGGCGAATGTGGGAAATGCTTTTACTAATTCGTCTGCTGAAGATTCGGCTAGAAGAGACGCGATCTCGATAATCAATTGCTTGATGAGGAATCCTAATAGCCCTATTGTCTTCACTATGGAGATGATACCGGTATGCATCTGATTTTTTTTACTCTCAGTGAGGAGAACTATGCGACATGGAGTCGTGCAGCCACCATGGCGCCTAGTGTTAAAAATAAAGAAGGTTTTNAAGGTTTTGTTGATGGAACTATTATTAAACCTTCGCTGCATGATCCTTTGTTTACTGCTTGAAGGAGATGTAATCATGTTGTCTCTTCTTAGATAATCACTTCTCTACCTAAAGAGCTTTATCCAAGTGTAATGCACAAGGATTCAGCTAGAGAGATTTGGATTGAATTACGTGATAGGTATAGTCAGGGCAATGGACCTCGGATC